TGCTGCCCTGGCGTCCTCTTCCACAACATCTTCATTTTTCTTTCAGGTGTTTTATGGGTACTATTTAATGAAGATGCCAGTTGGGGACCTGAGAGGCGTCTGTTTCTCAAACTAGAGACTCTAATGTACTTATCTTCTTGCTCAGTTGTGCAACGCGGCCTCCCACTTCTTTTTCTACTCTGGTTAGAGCCTGTTTGTAGCAGGGAAGGAAGGTCAGTTTTGTAGCTTCTGTAACGAGCTAAACTGTTCTCAGATGTATGAACATGATTGCACAAGGGTTTTCTAATCATCAATTAGCCTTCTGAGACAAAGAGCAAACACATTTTACCATTAGAACACTGGAGTGATAGTTGCTGGAAATGGGCCTCTATACACCTATGTAGATATTGCACCAAAAAGCAGACATTTGCAGCTAGAATAGTCATTTACCACATTAGCAATGTATGGAGTGTATTTCTTTAAAGGTAAGACTAGTTTAAAGTTATCTTCATTGAAAAGTACAGTGCTTTTCCTTAAAAAATAAGGACATTTCAATGTGACCCCAACGGTAGTGTAGATGTATATATAGTTCAACATTGCTAACCTTGCATTTAGTGCTGTAGCTGGAAATCCAACTCAATCTCCAGTTAGCTCTATGTTGTCCACCTTTGAGTTGTAGAACATTATAGTCCAATTAATTAGGGGTCTTTGTTTGTTTTCACTGCCGTCTTAAAGCGGACCAAGGAAAGTGCAGAGCAATGACCTAAAGTCCCAATGCTCTAGATTTCTGAGTTGTTAAAACACTAAAACAGTGTTTGCTTTAGCGTTCCTGTCAGCAGAGCTCTCAGGGTTGAAAACACTGATCCTGTTTTGTTAACCAGGCTTGCGAAGCAAAGTTTGCTCAATTTTTCTTTTAAAAGCTGCTCTTCATGATTAACCTGGACCACAAGCACATTTCTTTACCGTGCAATGTGTTTTAAGCTTTAGAGCCTTGATATATATTTTAGAACTTATAAAATAGCTCTAATGTATTTTAAAAAAAACAGAAAATATGTATAGAACATGTTTTTATATCTCTCTGCAGTTTATTAGGAAACTGACACATCTTTAAGGATGGGCTCTTAAGATAATTACAGTAACGCCACGTGGTGATGAAAGCAGACACTTAATTTTAAGCTCAACTGATCTGATTCACTGAGAAGTTTGATTAAAATATTTTGATCCCTGTTAACATGAAGCAAGAGGCTCGTATAACACTGTTAATGTACAAGCAACAGTTGCACATGCTTAAAAGTTGTTTTTTTTTATGTACAAATACACATTTCTCACTCCAAGGTTCTTTAAGCAAATCTTTATTGAACACCTTACATGCTAATATATGTACATTGCTATTAACATAATTTATTATCATAATACACAAATGAGCTCAGCTGCATTTTAGTCAGCTACCACTAGGGGGTGACTTTACATTTTTTACAACCAGTTTATTTCCTTTTAAAAGATTATTTGTATAAACAAAGACAAAACAATGTGTTTAATTCATAATCTGTACTTTGTTTTCTATGAGCCTGAGAGGAAGTGTAGCTGTAGTTCTGACATTAATGCAGCAGTAATCATCATCATCGGCGAGTCTCCTTTTCCATCAGGTCTTTGGCCTCGTTGATTTTTGCAGCGAGATACGGAGAGCCACCTACACACAAACACGAATCAGACCTATGACACTTAAAGCAACCCACACACATAAAAATGTACACCATAATAATCTACCTTTCAGGGGTAAATCTTATTACGTTTAAAGATTTAGCTGCTCACAAGCTTGTTAAATAATGAAAGGGATGTTTAACCACAGCATAAGATGGATAACATCTTAGGTTTAGTTAGATTTATGTCATTCTTGTTTTTATTGGTATAACTGCAGCAAGTCTGGCTGTGGAACAGAACCAGTGGAACTTAGTTTACCTTTATCTGGATGATTTAGGACCATGATCCTCCGATGCGCCTCACGTACTTTAGACTTTGTGGCAGCTGGGCTAAACACGACACACAAAGAAAAGTGTTTGTTTTCTTCTATAGGAAAAAAACGTAATATTCACATTACCAGACTCTGCCTCCTACCTGACGCCCAGGATGAGGCTTGCTTCCCGCCTCGACATCTTCTGCTCAAAACCTCCTTTGTAATAAGATGAGAAAGCCTGAGAGGACATAAGGTTGGAGGTTCAGTTACCGACTGAGAATCATTTAAAAGCTCTATTTATTAAAGTCGCAGGGAAGCGGATGTTCCAATCGTTGCATTTCCGAATTCTCCTAAGTTGTGCCCGACTTTACACGAGTGTTTATCAAGGGGGCAGGGTTGTTGTGGCGGAAGGTTCACAAGCAAGTGTGATTGTGGTCAGTGTCTCTGAAGCATCCTGCTAACCAGTTAGCAACTTAGTGCTAGTAGGTTCCCAATGGGAAATTAAATTGGGACCAAGTAGGACCAAATTGGTGACTTAGAAACGACACTGCTAAGGAACGCTATGGACAGCGGAAACATGCAAGAGGAGGAGAGTTTTGTGTCGGAGATCGTGGGTGAGTCTCCTCTGTCATACATTTTTTATTTAGAGGAGGAAAATGGGGATAAAGTTGTTGTGGAAGAGGATGCCAGGGTGGCAGAAGCTTGGTTTGGTGTAGAAGGCTTACAGACGTACATGTTTGAGCCCTTGCCTCGCAACGCTGCCAGTTCTGTTAGCTCTGCGCCTGCCGAAGATGCAGACGTCCCGTGAACACTGGGACGGAACTCTATGGTAAAGTATAATGATTCTTATTTCTTATTTCAACCGTTAGGTATATTAGCTGCGACATATAAATCCAGATACTATCACTGAAAAAAATAGATTGACAGATGACCGTTGATATATGATTGGCTGAATTTAGGTGTTCAGGCTGACGTATAACTAACTGGCCTGCATAAAATAACCAAAAAAACCAAAGACAGATTTTAAAACAGGATTTTTTTTTTCAAATAGAAATTTTCTAAATTTTGGGACGATATTGTCTGATAAAGAATACATTTATATACATGTTTAAGCCAGAATGATTTGACATTTAAATATGATTTCCCTACGACTTTAAATATGCTTTGGTAATATTTAATATGGACCACAATTAGATAAAGAGTGGAAATGAAAAAAATGACTTAAAAATATCAAATGAATTCTTCCATTCTGTAGGTCAACAATATAAAAAGCTGATTATTGTTAATTTAATAAAGCAGATTTGTCAATCTCGATTAAAATACTGTAATATAATGTACAAACCAAACATCACTGTGCAATCAGAGCTTTTACACATTTTGGATACTTTTTTCCTTCATGGAACATTTTCAACTCTTTTTCCTAAATCTGTTCTACTCTGAAACATTTATTATGAGCTAATCCACTAAAGAGGAAGTGTCTGTTAAAAAGAAAGTCTTAATACTTTTGCAATAATTTTTATATGTAATAGATATGAAAGGAAACTGATTTTTAGAGCAAATCCAGATTTCTTTGGAGATTAAAATCTACCATTTTAAATCTGGAGAAAAACTCGAAAGTTCCATTGAATAGATATAAATTAAACAGCACAGATAATATTCAGGTGTTTGCTTACTGATGAGGGCATCTTCTTGACTGTTTCAGAGAAAACCTGTCCCAGTGGCTTCCACAGCTGGAATGCATAACGACCTGAGGACAAAGGAAAATAGTTAATTACGTAACTTTAGCTCTTTGATGTTAAACATCTGAAAATAAAAGGTGTTTTTTTTTTTTTTACACAAACACTTTTAACAGCAGAAGTAATAAACTTTAATAGAATAAATGTAAATGAAGGCTGCTTTTTATTTCATGTTATTTCACCTGCAAATCCTGCAGCAGCTACACCAAGGCCCACTGCAATCAGAGTCCCTCCCTGTCAATGAGAAGGTTAAACTGGTCGGTAACCATAGTAACACAAAGGCTTTAGCTTAATGCATTACATCTTCTGTCATAGTATGTTAGATAATGACACAAGGCTAAAAAAAAATTAAATATAAAGATGAAAGACATTTAACCTCTATGTGGCAGTTTTTTCTTTTTACACCTTTATTACCGGTAATAAAAAGTCATTATGCTGCTAAATAAAAAAGACAGAACCCATCAAGGCTAGAGATATACCGATCCAGTGAGATAGCTGTACTGAGCGTATCGGCCAATATCTGATACGATTCAACTGTTGAATGAATGAACCATACATCTTGCCATATTAATGAAGGCTTTAGCCTTGAATTAAACACTTAAAAGTAAAAAGCAACAATATTATCCATTAACAAAAAACAGCAAAAAAAAAAAAAAAATAATTACAGTTCAATGTTAAGTTTACTTGACTGAATCTACGATATCCAATGTCTAATTTGCTGAAATGCAATCCAGCTAATTAGTAAATTTCAGAGCCAATATGTGATCCAGGTATCGGATCGGTGCCTCTCTAATCTGGGCAACAGAGGGCCCTATTGGTTAAACTATGTAAGGTTTCTAAATATTTCTCCTGTATAAGTTTGACACTTTTCAAAACTCAACTGTAAAGATGAGCCAGTTCTAAAGTGGAAATAAAGATAATAAAACTAAAAAATTTTTTTTTTTTTAAACATTAGGTTGGATTAAAATGTCGAACGTGAAGAAACTTAGGTGGACGGCTTAATTAATGGATCGCTGAATGAAGTGAAGGACAGCTAATAGGTTCATGAATCAATGAGTGAAACGGTAAATAAACCCCGTCAAGATCAGAAGGTGTAACCTGATCACAGAACAGCATTATGCGAACAAACAAACACCAGGGAAGTCATTCAATAGTTAAAGTAAACAACGGTTAAAAGCTGATTGACACAGAAAGACGGCTTACAGACTATTTCTATAAACCGATTTCCCAGCTGAAACGATGTTAATTTTAAACAGAGACTTTTTTGCAGCTATAGTTCTTCGGAAAACAAACATTAAAGCTTTATGAACATCTATAATCCGGTTATCAGCAGTGGACAAAAGACTATGGTTGAAAAAGATTTATATGTCACAACCTAAAAATTAAAAACAGCCCATATTTTGTCCTTATTTTTAGAATGTTAAGTTTTTAACTTCACTGGGCAAAAAAAAATTGGTTTAAATTTTAAAATTAAAAAAAAATATTATTACAGTTTTTAAATATCTCTCAGACTTCCTTTAAAACCTAATAAATCGACTGCGACAGGTTTGAAAAAAATACAATTATTAGTGATTTATTCCAACAGCCATAATGGTTGGATTTGATTTCTATCTCTATTTCTGCCAATAGTGTAAATATTTTATATCTCCATGCTCAGTGGTGAGCGATAAGAACAGAGGCGCAGCTAGAAAATTTTAATAAGGGTGGCCAGGCAATAACCAATGTACACTGAGGGGTGGCCGAAAGTAGATAGGCACCAGAACCTCAGGGTCAAACTACACTGTTTCAACAGGAAAAGTAATGAGCATAACATCAATATTTTCTAAATAAAGATGAACTTTACATTCTTACAGCCTTTGTTAACAAATAGACACATATATATTTAAACATCTGTGCTTTCTGGATAAAAGGTATATAGTGAATAAAATTCTTTCAGCTTTGAGTTCTGGGGTAATTTTCACGTAATTTTCTCTTTACCCCATATAACACAATATCTAGTTCTGAAAAGAGCATGAATTCTGAACTTATCATATTTAATGTTAGTAATATAATGTGCATAATTAACCACAGTGTTATTGTTGTCAAGTAATTGTTAATAAATGAAAAATTGTATTGTTTTTAATATTCCACTTGAGAGTATTACTGTCACTGTCTGTATTAGAGGGGAAAAAATTGGTAGGGGTGGCCAATGATTGGCTAAGGGCCACCCCTGGCCCCCCATCTAGCTCCAGCCCTGGACAAGAATCCAATGGCTTTTAATCAATAAACCCTGACTAATGTTATAAATATTTTACCTATGTCAGTTTTAAATCGTGTGATAATGACTGAAAATAAATAATAAAAACCAGTGATAATTGTTTATTACCAAACGCGCTTCGTCTTCGTGCTTTATCTCATGTTTCTGACGTAACTGAGCATGATGATACTTAGCGGTCACCAGGTTAAACCTACAGACCTTGTTATTAAAATCAGATTATTTCAGGATGATAGACGCGATAAACACCACAAACCGCAGCTCGCTAACTTACCAACTGCCTGTCTATTTCTGCATCACTCCTGACATTTGTTTTAGAGGAATATTCCGCATATCGCATCGTTTCTTCCAGTGTTGAGCCGCCGGTGCTCGCCATGTTGCCTTCCTGACGTAACGACGAACTCATCGTATCCGGTCAGTTCTTTCAAAATAAAATTCCGCGCTAAAGAATTTCTGCCCATTTCCTGGACCACAGATCTGACTTCAACCTTTTCTTTCTTCTTGCTGGATTTATTGGCGGTTGGCACAAACATTTAGTAGCATTACCGCCACTTACTGGTATGGAGTGTGGCTCGTGATGGACTATCTACTAATAAACATATATTTGTTTATTATTTTATTATTATTATTTTCTAAGGAAAAGAAAAACAACCATATATATATATATACAGACACGCATACACATACATTAAATAATTTAGTTTTCTTTAAAAATCAAATAACTATTTGAATATGTTTACTCCCAAAATTCTTCCTCAAAATATCTAATAAATTAATCTTTTCCTTAATACAGTCAACAACCTTTTACTTTCGATTTAAAGAGGCCCTTTAACCCCCGGTGTTACAAAGTAAAACATTTTAAAAACATTTTAAAAAGCCTAGGGAATAAAGCTTTCTCTATTGTATGAATATATATATAAATAAAAACCTTCACAGCAGTTTTGTAGAATGAGATAGGCTGGGTGATCCCTTATTATTATTACAGATTATTTAGGCACATAAAAAATGTAAAGCACATAGTTAAAACCCTTCGTATTACCTTAAGAAATAAAATTATATTGTAGTATAATATTATACTGTTTCATTAAGAGCCAGGTCAGCCGTCAGCTTTGCTAGGGCCTTGGACTACACAGTCACTACACAAACTTTGTAATACTTTATTTAAATAGCCTAAATTATACTTATATCAAAATAATTTCATTGTATAATGACAAAACTATTTTAGATCTCACTTGTTTTCTTATTATTTGCATATAAATAAAGTAGCAGTTGAGATTTTCACTTTGAGCAACACTGCAGTATTTACACCATTACACATGTTGATGTTTAATTCCCTGAAATGTCTAAATAACTCAATCATGCGGTCATAGAATCACCCTGACGGCTCTTTTCTAAAGTGTGTTTAATGACTGGAGTGAAGATTTGTGGGTTTTTGCCTCGAACTTCCACACAGAAATTCAAATACATCAGAGTCAGTGAGCAATATATATATCATAGTTTGATGTATGAAAAAATGTTTACTGAGAACTCGAATACTTTTACCTAATTTGGTTTTAACATGTTGAATGTGACGTTAATTATCACAGCCACAAACTTCCTTTCTATAACTGTCCACATTTTCAGCTGCTGTCACACTTTTTAAATCAATGCTTGGGCACTTTCTGTCATATAATAATTACAATTTGTTAAAAAATATTTCATATGCTTTATTAATGTTGTTCTCACCTAATTTTGCCTTCTGATTCTGTTTTTAAAGCTATTCTTTAAATGCATTAATCATCTCCTCTAAGCCTCATTCTTTTAAACCCTTGTCTAGTACCATGTTTATCTTGTTTGGTTTCTGCTGTCAAATATGACAAGAACTGATAGATGGTTACAAGCAGGGGGGTTGCCATGGAATTTGGGGCCCATGAAAGACATTGATATTGGGTCCTCAACCCCCAACCCCCCCAAAAAAGTTAACCCAAGCTTTAAAAGTGCTATAAGGATGAACTGAAGACTATCGTTTACAGTGTAATTTTTATTGTAATATTTCTACAGAGGAAAATAATCAGAACATGAAAAAGTTGAATATAAATTCAGTTCTACATTTAGTTCTGTCAAAATAACAACTTATTGAAAACAAAAACCCAACTGTATCTATGTACACACGAATATAGAATAGGCTTAGGATGATGAAAATGTATTTCTTTTAGGCTTCACTGTAACTTTTTTAAAGGGTTTTTAAAGTTTTTTTTTTTTAATTTATGCTGGCCCTGAGAGCATATTTTTCATTAATCTGTACATGTAATGACAAAACATGTATTTTTGGTGTGGCAGCTTCAGGCTGCTCATGAGAATAATTAAGATTTATAGATGTCTTTTAATGATTAATCGGAGGATAAAAATCTAGCTGTTTTATAATTTTAACATATAGATATATATATAAATAGCCCAGACTATAAATTTCAACAGACTGTATTGATGCAAACTGGCCTGTCCCTGAACACAATGTAGCAGGTGGATCATCTGTTCACATGACGACAGAGGGACAAAGACAATTATATAATGTAAATATTCTGCTAACCATCTTCTAGTGTTTAGCTGATGTTAACCCTCTGATGACTGTGGCGTTTTCCTGTTGCTTGGTCTGGTTTGTAAAGATAAATTCTGAACTCTGTGAGCTTTCTGGCTTAGTTGTTTGGCCTCTGTGTTTGTTACAGACAGG